ATACGTTGCGCCAGTGAATTATAGACGCTGCAAAAATGAAAAACAAAGCCAACCAGCTCAACGACTGTGTGTTCGGTATTCGTTACAGCTGTTCCGTTCGTTCACGCTGTGCGTATATGTGAGACAACTCTCCGTATATTATCAATTTTAGTATACATTTAGACTCTTCTGTCGATATGAGATCTCAACTATCGTTTTATGATGAATTTTCAAAAGCAATTTACTGCCAATTTTATTTTTTATTTTTGTATTTCCGCAGCCTTGTTGTTGTTTTATTACATAATAAATTATGTGAGCGGTAGAAGACAGCACAATTTGATACGAATGAATATTCATTATATATTCCAAAATTAAAAATTCATATCAATGTTCAAGTCAAATTTATGGATTTTAAAATGCAATTTATTATATTAATGTCATAATTTGTCCAATGAAAACATACATTTTGCATTAATTCATCGCAATTTATCATCGAGTATGTAGAAGAACAGCATTTTTTACTTATTCTTTCCTCTTACGTTTTTTAGTAATCGAATACGTCGAGCTCGCGCGCAAAGGGATAAATCCAATACAGAAAAATCAAAACGAGGTTTGAATACAATTTGAGTTTTCTCAAAGTTTAATGGAATTATGATTTCGAAATTCACCATTTTTTTTCGCTGAAAATATTATGATTATTCAGAGGTGCCCCAAAGTGAGCTGCAGCGTACTCAACGTCAAGCCAACAATGACAATAATAATGATAATGGTCCACCGGCGGATCCAAGCTATGATTTTGCATTTAGAACGCCAGAATATCAACGTCGAGAAAATTCGGATAGCTTGGGCCGAGTGAGAGGTATTTAATTGAATAAATTTTATTTGTTAGACTGTTTTTATTTTTTTCTATCGTAAAGTTTGAGAATACAAGTTATAATTTATTTATTCAATGTATTCCGGCAGGCTTATATTCATTCATTGATGATGTTGGCGAAAAGCATTTGGTTCGTTATGCGGCCAGTGCTGATCGGGGATTTGAAGTGTTCAATTCAGTTCCAGATGCATCGCGTTATGTACAATATAGTGCACCGTTGTATAAAACATCACCAAAAGCACGTGGTCGAATTGCTTACGAACGGGGACCAGGTTGCTTAAGATTTTATTACTTAATCATTCTTTTATTATACATAGAATTTGAAAAAAAAAACACATTCTTTTGTCTAAATAAATCCAGGCCGCCAATATAAATTTATATCAGCTGGTCCCGATCAACGGCGCTCGGAAAGTGCGTGAATGAATTTTAATTGTTTCTATTGCGTGCAAAAGCAGATTATATGCTAATTGAAAATGTAAATTTTTCTCATCTACTAAGGTACTGGACCGGATGGCGTCACACGCGGTGCTTATTCGTATCTCGATGATAAAGGTGTTCAAAGAACAACACAATATATTGCCGGTGCTGGCATTGGTTATCGCGTAGTCCAAGGTATTGATCTCTTTTGATCTTTTCGTCACTTTGTGTTTCCACCTTATTTTGTTTATACATTTTCCGATTTCTAAGATACAACTGGGCCTCAAACACATTTATTGCCCCGACCGGCGGTGGTTGAGTTCGGAATATTATATCCACGAAATGGAGCTAGCGGTGGTGGGATAAATCGAGGTGGCAACGGTGCTACTCCTCCTGGCAATGGCAATGGCAATGGCAATGGCAATGACTTTGATTCAGATGGAAACAATGCTTTACCGGGTGGCACTCAACCAGGTGGTGGCGATGATGGATTTGGTGGTCCACCGGGTGGCACAGGCGGCACCGGTGCCAATGGCGGTGGTGTCGGTGGTTTCGACGATAATTCCATTGATAACGATTTACCGCCATTTGACGATCGAGATGATTTCGATAGTGGTGGAAATCGTCCGGGCATTCGACCCGGCAGTGATGTTGACTTTTCCAAACCAAATCGTGGTGGTTATGGTACCCTCATCACAAACAGAGGCGATACATATTTTGCTGGAATAGCGCCCGGAAATTCCGTTCGAGCGCACGTTCAGAATATTGATCTTAGACCGTACAGTAGCGATGGTGAATTGACCCCAGGTGAAGCACTCAGACGCGACGAACGACGATCACAACGATTACGATTTAGAGGATAGGACAATATTTAAAAAAAAAATGAATTAAGAAAAAACAACAACGAAAAGGTTCCAAAGAAAATACATTTCATTTTCTAACAATTACAACATTTATTTGTTTATCATACAAATTCTTTCTTTCTTTTTTTTCAAACGCGTTTCATAATTATCTTCTTGTTTGTCTTCAATTTTATGTGCTGTTTTTGCCGTAAGTGTGTTTGTATGTGTGTGTGTATTATGAGAAAACTAAACACTTGCTAATTTTCTTTTATTTAATTAATCCAAAATTTCCACAATAAAATCTGAGGTTTGCTGAGCGATTTGAGTGTATAAATTTATGTTGCGTCATATATGTGTATATATCAAAAGACTCAGCATCGAGTATTTTTTTTCTCTTTTCAACTGTCTTCATATTTTATTGTACATAATCAAATAGCAACTATAGCTGTGATCATTCACAATATTCGTTTTTATATATATTTTTGCTTTCAGTTTTTTTTGTATAATACAGAGATATAGAGAAAAAACAATAATAAAAGACATTTTCGTCGAAAAAAATTTTCGTATAAAGAAAAATTAGGCAAATACTTGATTGATTGGGAAGAGATTAGTTTCATGAATGTTTTTTTCTTGATTGTCCAATTATTATTTAAATAAATTGAATTCAAAATACAAAAAAAGTGTTTGATATGAATCGTTTTTTTTTTCATAATTAAAATAAAAAAAATTGTTTAGAAAAATTGCAATTAATCTTGTAATTAATTTAAAATAAATAAAAATGAAATATAAAAAAAGAATTTAATCACAATTTCTACTTTCTACATATTTATTATCCACAGTATGATTTTTTTCATCTCGTATGTGTATAATTGCTCTTGAGGATGCGCTTCTTTTTCTTTCGGGCTCACTTTGCAGTTTAATTGCGTTGATATATGAATGTACTTGTATATATATATAATGTGTGTGTATATCTTACAATCGATGGGTAATCATCAGTTATTTTTTGTTCATTAAATTGAAAATTTCGAAATTCATATCAAAAAAATGTGTCATTTCTTGCGTTTGCACCTCACGATTATAATATTAAACATCGAAATAAATGTGTGTATTTTTTTCTCTTAAATTTGATACATATATGGTTTGCATTTGCATCAATTTTTACGGTGTGTGTCGCTGATTGCACAATGTGAACGTGAACTTTTGTGATCATAGTGTACTCCTAACCTATGTATTTGGCATAAGATGATCACCTGTGATATTTGTATATCTGTATGTCCGTGAACAACACAGAGAGAGAGAACAAACAAAAAACTTTACTTAATTAAATATAAAATCTAAAATCATATCATTTCCGTATTTGTGGCAAATTCATTCTCGCTTCTCTTCGATTATTGTTTCTTTAGTCTCTTTCGTGTCCAAAACACAAGCCATTTGCTCGTTTGTATAGTATTCTTCGCATATAAATGTATTACTCTTGTACAGTCGTGCTCGATCTGATTTTGGCATATTTTTCATCCGACGTTCGTCGATCACTTCGATTGAATCGTAGCTATCGTCTTCGGTAGTGCCGGCATTATTGGTTGCTGTATTAATTGAACGATTGCTACTAATTACGAATATTTGATCGAGCTCACTGCTCAGTTTAAATTTATTGCTGGCCGATGTGGTGGCGGCCGGAACAAATGTACTTATACGCTTATGTAAATTCGACGAATTACTGCGAAACAATGTCTTCGGAATTTGCCGTGTCGACGGTTTTTCAATCGATTTTTCATTCGATACTATTCGCATTTTTGTTTCATTTTTAAACACTGATGAATTTACACGATTGCAATCTAACACCAATGTTGTGGGACGCTTTGGTTGCACTGATTGTTCTTCGCTTGTCATCTCTGTCGTTAATGTTGTTGTATCTACTACGATTGGCGATTGTGGCACTTTTGGTTCTTCCTCCGCTAGTGAATGTTCGATTGATAATTGATATATTGGAATATTTGCCGGCTCCGAACACACCGATAACTGACTCCTATTGTGAAGAAAAAATAAATTCATTTTTGCTTTAGAGTTTTTGTCTCTTTTAATTGATCAAAAATAGGAAAATCATTTCACCAACTCACTTAAATCTCCCCTCCACCGATGGCGTTGACGTTTGTGCAATTAATGTGCCCGCTTTTTTATACGGTGGACTTGTTATAATTGCCTTTTCTAATATCTCATCGGTTTGCACCGCTCTTGAATCAACGCTCGGCGTTCGAGATACACTTTTACCACCCTTACGAAATATATTCGATATGTCCGAATTGGTTGAGTTACTGCAAAATTCAATTACGAAACCAAAAAAAAATATCAAAAATTGCGAAAAATCTTAAAAAATTCATCATATTTTTTATTTAAAAAAATTCCTTGATGAATGAATTACCTTCGATTATTCGTAAAAGTCGTTTTAGAAATACTATTATGTACTTCGGAACTGTCAATTTGCTTTTGACGTGCTAAAATATGCTTTTTTGCTGTATCAGAACGTTTTGTTCGTTCACGTTTATTTCCCAAAAATTCACCTGAATATAAAGAATTGAAAAAAAAAAAATTAATTTGTTGTCGTAGAATAGACAAAATTCGAAAATTACCCGTCGAGTTTTGCGAATCAATTGATATTTTTGCACCGGAAAAGTAAACACCACCTTCATCGATCGATTTATTCAAATTGTTGCGTTGCATGCTGCGAATGTTACGAGCAATCCGATCCTTTTTCGATGTACGATGGTGTTGACGAATTCGTTGGGCTGTCGGCGATATTGAGTTTTGCTTTGCAATCGTTGGTGATCGATTGCATGATGTTAAATTTGGTACACTACCACTCCGAGAGAATCGTCGTTCCTTTGATGAATAGTGCGCTGAGCTAAATTTATAAAAATTGCATGGAAAATTTGGAAATAAAAACAATTAAGTAATTTAAAATCAAATAAAAAGGAAAAAATTAAAAAAAATAGAAATTATCACCAAAAAATAAACAATTCATATGTTTTTCTAGATTTTAACTTAAAAAAAATATATATCTGAAAAGAAAAAGATTTTTATATATTACTTACCCAATTATTCTGGAGAAATGAACCAATGCAGCAGTTTGAGCGACTCTTGATTGAACTGGATTGTCACCGGGTGACGTTCGAAAAATGCCCAGTTGATTATCCCAACGCGTTTGCGAACCAACTGTTGATGACATTCCCGACGCTAAAATTGTACAAAAAAATGTCAAACAATTAAAATGCTCGCACGAAAATGGCACCGTCTATCCAAATGTATACAAACAACAACACAGCACCCACAATACCACTCAAATATTATATATATTATATGTTATATAAATATGTTATTAAACAATCAAGTATTTACATATATTTAAAAAAATGATCTGTTAATTGCTTAAATGTTGAATGTTCTTTTTTTCGTTGTTGTATTCAAACAAATATGTCATATAGAATGGTTTGAGCATAAAACAAATGGTTTTTAAATAGAAAACAACGAAAAAAGAAAATTGGAAGAATGAAAAGCAACGCAACTCAATGCAGAACGGTAATAGCAAAAAATAGAGTTAAATAATTTTTTGGGCGAGAAATATGGTGTAAATAGAGTATATGTATTTCTTTTTAATTTTTGGAGTCCTGAATTAATTAAGTGGATATAAAAAAAAATTTAAGAAATATTTGCCTTACCGGTAGTTCGTCTCGATGAATTTAATCGTGCTCCATTGGCACGGGTATTTGTACTTAATTTAAATCGGGCGGGCACAACTTTGGCTGCTGAGTCTCTAGCTTCAAACGTCATTACGCAGGAGGCCACTAAAATAAAGGCTATATCGCAACTATAATGAAGCCTATTCGCTTGTGTTCGATTTAAATTCAATTAAAAAAAATGCCAAAATAAAAAGACGCAACCCAAAAAAATACACAGTTCTTTTTTTCTCATCCTATGCAAATAAAATCAATTTATTCGTATTTTTTCCCTTCGCAAAAACGAAAGCAAAAAAAAACAACAACGAAAAAAATTTGAGTAAAAACAATCAAATCAAGAGCAGAGAGACAGAGCGAGGGCTGTAACTCACAAATAAGACCAATTTGTGGTTAATAATAATTTTATGAGCCGGATAGAAAAGTGGCTCGACGAGCGTTCGGAAAAAATTGGTAAATAAAATGGGAAAAGCTCAGAGTTACTTAGAAAATAAAAAAGATCTAAGCTATGGTTTAGTTACTTCCTGTGTTTTTTTTGCCGGTAAATAGTAGAGTTTGTGAGTATACAAAAGCAGAGTTGACGACATAGAGTGAGAGAGAGAGGAAGAGAGAAAGTCTCGCTTCTAATATTAGGCATAAAATCGACTAACCAGAACGTGCTTTAAATGCTAGTACGTAACCTTTTGCAGTGTCCATCCAAATTGTTTGGGTAATGGCTCTGTGTTATCTTGTGTATTCACTATTTACATGTTATTTATATAAATAATTTATTTACAGTGTATGGAAGACTTTTTTGTCTAGCAAAAGATAGGGAGGGCAAAGAAAACAATCTAAATGTAATAAATGTTAAATGAAAATATGCAAGAAAATCATGTACAAAATGAAGCAAGCAATTATGGTGTTTATTTCTCACCCCTCGCGACTTGATCCGATCCAGCCGTTTTATATATTTCATTGTTTTTGTTCAACTACGAACTAACTATAGAAGCAAAAGTTAAAACTAAAGCAATTGTTTTTTGGTGGTGTGTACAAAGATGTTTTCATTCAAACGTTATAGAAAACACGCAGTTATGAAATTTGACAGGGAAGAGCTGTGATTGTGCGATAGGTAAGGAGGTATTGGTTTTTTTTTTTATTCAGTATTCTGGTGTCGACGATGGTGGTTTCTCCATTTTTTTGGATCATTCACAAGAAGATATTTTGTGCAGATATGGTCGAAAGAGAGAAAAATGTGAAGAGAAATGTGTGAGTGTAAAAACTGATGCGATTGTGTCCATTCTACATTATCTATGTTCAAGTATTGGACCAAGTATCCAGTGTTGAGTCAATTCAATTAAAATATGGATTTTTTACAAATGGTCGATACAAAATGTTCACATTAAGGTAACGAAAAAAAAAATGAAAATAAAATGTTTGATATGATTGCATCTCTCTGCAGAAAAAGGGGATGAGCGAGAGAGAGAGAGAGAGTGAGAAACGGTAAAATTTGACGTAAAAACACGCTTTCGATTCAGAACGAAAAAATGAAAAAACAATTTCATGATGGAGAAATAACCGGACAAACAGTTGATAAGTAATTGAATATTTCTTACCGCCACAGCCCATAACGATCGGACCTGCATATGACAAATTATGCAAATGAATGCCAGACTTTGAATCGGTTTTCACACGGACCGTTGAATTATTTCGCGTCTCAGCATGTCGTGATATATGCTCTGCATAATATCCTAAATACGTCGAGAAAATGAAGAAGAGACCATTTATTGTCACAATTCACTAGCTCCATTTACTCTCATTTTGCACTGACCTATTGTCGCCATACCCGCTCCGATCAACATTAGCAGAAGACCAAGCGCCAATGCTCGACATGCATGCCATAAACATGATGACGTCATTTTGCCCCGTACCTAGAACAAATGGCATTTTTAAATACACACATTCTATTTTTCATTCATTTCTTTTGGTTTTGTATTGCAACAAGCAAACAAGTTGAAGGTCTAAGATTTAAAATTCAGCCAGGAAAAAATGGATTTTTATTCAAAAATCCTTGATGCAATCGGATAGCAAATTTATTGAATTTTAATTAAAATGCCATTTATTTTAATTTAAACCGTTCGTTCGATAAAAAAATGTAATTAATTTCAATAAGAGAAAACCTGATACATACCACCTGAACATTCCAAGTAGCTCCTATATGATTGTTAACATTCCAGAACAATGAAATTTTACCCCCCATTTGATACGGAAACAAAAGAAGCATACATTAAATATTCATAATATTTGATGTATCCACATCCGATTTCGTTTGTATATTTCATTTACCTGAAGCAGGGCATGCACGACGAACGGGACCAAGAGAAATCTTTCGACGACTTTGCCATTTTGCTGCCACACCACGTGCATGCATTTCGATACATACAGATAATCCTAATCCCAAATTACGGGCTTATCCACCACCCGTTATTTATTCGGTTCTTGCAAATCAATTATTCCTCTTGATTTGGGTCCAATATCTCTTCATTCAAATCACGGGGTATCATTCAGTTATACTCTGTTGTTAAAAATAAATAAATCAAATTATATTTAAATGCGGTCAACCACAATTGCCATCGTACGCCATGCATTCAATGTGTTGGCAAACAATAACGAAATGTGGAAAATGCAATTGAAGGGACAGTTAGAATCGCAACAGCCTATAAACGGGCTGCATTATATTATATAGATTTTTATCAACGGGGCGTAAATAAGTTTCATCAATAAAAACGTCGTCGAAAGCAATTACGATTATAATTTTGAAGGCGTCATGACTTTTGATGAAAACCGTGCATTTTGAAAACGCACACACACTCACAAATAAAGTTAATTGATTGCGTGTTATACGTATCTCATCAATCATCCGATTGACTGGCAACAAAATATTGTATTGCAAATATGTTGTGCATCAAATCAGTGTAATTGACACTCGTGCAAAAAAAGCGAGTAGTGACAACACACAAAATCACTCTAATCTAGATGTATATCAAAAGAAAAATTGTTGTCACACATCATCGCCTAGACATGCCCCTGGATATTTTCCGCTTGTGATATGCAATCACCGTATCCGAATGAGTGAAAATCAAAGACTACTACGATGATAATGATAAAAAAAGGAGAAAAAATGACAAGAATCGATGTCGAAATTCAACATTCGCAATAAACATTGCCCGTGGCCATAAAAGGCACAGCAAAAACTAAAGCAAAACACACGGCTGATGGATACAAAAGTATGCCTTAAATTGAAAATTTCTTCTTTCAAACGGAAATAATTTTTTATTATTTTGTTTTATCACACTTCTTTAAATTGGCAAATGAAAGATAAAAAACCAATTAACAAACTGTTTTCTTTTTTATTCCTCGGTCAAACAAAATAACAACTCTGAAATCACTGTCTATGACCGAATTTTTATATTGATATGAGGCAATTCACTTTGGACACACGACAATTAAGTGATGGTGAGTGTCAAGCACGACACTGGTATCAACAATAAAAAAAATATGGTACAAATGTTTGCTTGTATCGTTTCACTGTCGATGAAACGCTGATTTTGCGTCCGAAGGAAATGTAATTTTGCGAACGAAGAGAAATGATACAGAGAAAACTGGAGAAAATCTGTACGCATACATGAACGCACACACATACACAGACATACACTCAAATGGATATCTGAGCTTTATCATCTCACAGGCAGCCAAAAGATGCTTGGATAGGCAAACGGATTGAGGTACAACAGATGAACACATCATACGGACACATTCAGGCCATAGCATGAATTCCTTTTTATCGTATTCCCGTGTGTGTTACGTTCATGAATCGTATGTATGCGTAAATGAAAACGGTTAAACTCTCTAGCCTAACGTGGAAAATCGTTTGAGCCATTTTCATCAATTCACTCTGTTGCTCGCACTCTCTCGCTCTGGCCCTCAATGTAAAAAACCATTGCCTATACAACATATCTGTATTTATAGAATTTGCAACAGGTCGACATGCGCGTCATTCATATTGATTCGCAATAACATAGAGCTCGAGTGAAAAGACGAAAAGCGAAAGAAAGAATATGCCACAGGAAACTAGTACAAGAGTCTCTCGCTCGCTCTCAGTAGAATTTCAAAACATTTTCTGTCAATTTCATACCCACGATGAAAATGAGAAAAAGATGAAAATAACAAAACTGATGCAAAACCATATTCAATTGAAAACCGTGTGTATGCATGACTGCGTGCCATTTCTCAAATTTGAAATATGTCTCAAGCATTGAATGGTAGCAACGGTTAAATGGATGACACTTTTTGTGCACTCACAACAACAGGTCTTTCATCATTTACATTATCATATTGAGAGATAAGAAATCTGTCTGTCGCATTTATTCAATTGTTATATGCAGATGGAATGGAAAAATAAAATAAAATCGACAAATATGATGAAAAGTTGGCACTCAACACATTTTATAAGGGATTTGATAAATGGAAAACCTATTGGAATATGTAATTAATGACATCGTTTGGCGAATTTATTTCATAAAGATGGTATCATTGGTATTGTGTTGAATAAACAAAAAAAAAACATTTCTGACGTAGATGATGAAAAGAGTTTTTCATATTTGAAATAAATGACAGCTGTGTGTATGTGCATCATCAGAGTGAATGTGAAAAATAATAAATGACGTACATAGTACGAAAGCGACCGTTGCCTGGATTTTATTCATTTCATAGAATTTAGAAAATAACCGTTTACAAGCTCGCCGCTATTCAAAATGTAATCAAAATGTAAAACTACCCCATGCATACACACACACGCGCGCACACACATCCCTATCAGTGAAGAATAAAAAAATAAAACTTCTATGCCATAATAAACGGTTGTCAAGCGATTGCTTTGTTGTTCCACTTCAACTAGTGCCATAGAAACCGTTATACAACAAATGAATGCTATGAATGTTCTAACATGTCATTCCAAATGCAACGCATTTAGGATACAAGTTCTTTGAACGAAAATAATTTAATTTGATTTTTGTTTATTTTGGTCTTGATTTTTTATATTGAAATAATCGGTGGTGGCAATGATTTTAAATTACATTAAAACAATTACCGATGCCCAGGTTGGTCTGACTTGGCAATTTCTCCAATTTTTTGTTCTTTTTTATCGTCAATTTTTTCATTGAATTTAGAATCAACCGAATCGGGTGTGTGGGATATCATGGTCGCATAATCAACAACGATTAGCAGTGGCAACGGTAGATCGAACGATTTTATTGTACGATGAAAATGGTGAAAAACGTGATAAATTTGCCACAAAACCAATGGATCAATCCAATGGCAAAGAATCATATACGATTCGTCAAATTGCATTCAGTCCGGATTCAACAAAATTGGCCGTTGCTCAAAGCGATAATATTGTATACGTTTATAAATTGGGTGCCACATGGTCGGATAAAAAGGTGATTTGCAATAAATTTCCACAAACAACATCCATTATGGCAATGGTATGGTTGTCGATTGGACCAATCATCGCAGGTAAATTCCGGTCATCGCAAATATTTTATATTAATTTATGTGTAACTTTGATGAATAGCCAACATATCCCAAAACAAAAATTATATTTGTGAATGGAGTCGAAGGTACCTCATGGTTCCGCCTGTTTGCACACATAGAGCATACACATACATTTCGATTTTCTCTGTCGATTGTTTGCTTCGATAGAACCATAAATGCGTCTTTTTAATTAAACATTTACAAAAGAGGCTTCCGGTGCAAATGAGCATCGTTGGTGATGACAGAAGAAAATCCAAAGTAGAATGGATTACCAGCGGTCATAGTGAAAAACAAGGCACATTGCCTTCAACTTCCAACATCATTAAATTTGCGATTTAAACATTTTAATGTGCGCTCTTTATGACCATCGATTCAAGCGCAAAACAACAGAAAAATATATTTTTTGGCCGAAATGCTCCAGTTCGGATCTCATATGAGTTTGTATATATAAAAGTTATGCTTCATGCACACTCAATTTCAGTTGATTTATATGGTAAATTATAATTGACGTTTATCTTCGATGGAAAATCTTCTATGACCTTGATTTGTCTGGTTCGTTTTTTATTTTGTTTTTGTAAATTCAACGTATTGTGGTTTCAAATTGACTTTGTTGAAATTACTTTTGGTTTTGTTGAAAAAGTTTCCGGCTTTCCGGGAATAATTCCCACGACACTTTATTTCGAATATAATTTTTTTAATGATTTCGGAAGAAAAAGATGCTTATGCATAGAGCAGTAATG